CTGCGGCCAAAATGTATGCGTGCCCCAGGCTTTAATACACCCTCCAGAATATTTTCGCGATAATAATCAGCATTTATTCTGATGCCACGGTCGATTAATACGAGCGGAGAGCAATTATCGGTTGTTATGGCGGCCCACACCATCACCATGGCCGGCGCTTGAGTTCTGGTGGCCAACCTAAGGTGCACATTTTCAGCTGAACTCTTTGACAAGTAAACATGATCATTTTGTTTATTTACAAACTGCTGGACAACGATTTTTTTCTCATCGGAGATCGAAGAAAACCAAATTCGGCAGTTCACCACTTTCTGCCAAGCGAAGCAACCCTTTAGCTCTTTTGAGTCTATTTTCTTTCTGTTGCGGTGTAAATTCTTGCACTTTTTGGAATTTCAATGGCTCCACCCCGAGCTCATTTTTCAATATTTGCCGAATGAAATATTGCGAAATGTTCAGCTCACGAGCCACTTTTCCGCCACTGCGACGTGGGTTAGAGTACTCCAGCATTTAAATGTGAATAAATCTTTTGTGTCTCGTACCATCGCTCATTACCCTGATACAGGTAGCGTAGCCCGACGTCAAGGAGGTGGACGGAAGAAAACAGCAACATCAGCAGATGTGGTTCGAAAAGTATAGAAGCGACTTGATCGAAACCGCGACGAAGTGGCCGAAAAATCGCTCGTGAGCTGAACATATCTCAATATTCCATTCGGCAAATATTGAAAAATTAAACAAATGCCTCGGCAAATTTAGTAGAAATCGATTGAGAGGAGGTTATTCCTCTCATATATTGGAGGATCTTCCTCTCATATATAATTTCCTTTGGTATGATTTAATTCTCATAAATTCCCCATAAAACTTTTATTTGTTATATGAAGCTCTACTATATATCCAAAGGGGTGTAGGGTATCACAAAGTCGTCCCTTTCCGACTTTTAGGCTTTCTTTACTGATTTTTTATTTTATATAATTTTTCTATATATTTTTTTTTTTAGAAAAAAATACCCATATCCATATCAAATGCCTAAATTGAAGCAACCAAAACATGATACTTCTTGTTTCCTCACATGTCCAACAAATATTTGTTGTCCCAATTTGTTGTAATGCTACACACTACTTTGATGGCTAATTTTCAAGCAATTACCCCTGGCCACAAGTCACCACCCTCTCTCAACTTTCAACTAAACTCCCCGGAGTAGTTATAGCCAGCCTTAATAATTTGATGGATGATGATTTTGTGGAATTTTTATATTAAAATTCAGACAAACGACCAACGAACACACACACACAAAAACATAACCTTACTAATCGCATAGACAGCCAGTCATCCAACCAGGCAACTAACACCCCAAGTACCAGCTCCAACGAGGTATGAAATTATTATGATTTCTAAACATGTAATCTAAAATCGCATTCCAGTCGCTGTGTTCGTTCGTTCGCGCCAGTGTATCTCTTGTCCGCCGGCAGCAGAGTCGGCGGTATATCCATTGCAAATTTGTACAAGTTTATCGCCCACATTCCCCTGAGGGTAGGGAATATTTTCGTTTCTCTTTTCTCTTTTTTTTTTGTTTTTGTGGCCATTTAGCCAAACAATCAACGACCAATCAGTCGCTACTCATGTGTGTAAATAAATAAATAAACAACAGCAAAAACAACAAGAATTCGCCATTTCAGTTTCCACAGCAACACGGTAAAATGCATTTGGCAATGACGTCTGGTTCCTGGTGTTTCAATGCATGCGAATGGATGGCGTTGTCAACATCAACAACAACAATTTACTTAATTTTATTTAAAATAAAATAAAAATATTGGTTTGTTAAATGGTTAACCATGCAAATGAAATGAATGGCGTTCCAGAGGTCAGACAATGTCATGGTGCAAATAAATGCAACAAATATTGGGGTGGCCTAGACAATTTAATATTCAAGGGAAAGTAGAAAATCACGAGCATGATCCATGTATTGGAAAAAGCAACATTGAAAGATTTGAAGTAGAAAATCCAAATTTGTAATTGCAAAAAATCCACATCAAACTGTGAAGATTTTTTGGGTTTTTTTTTTCCTCCAAGCTAAACTCTTCAAAAGCCACATTTGTTGCTGTAAGGGACTTAAAAAAATAGTTGAGGAACCCGTGATGATCCTTAGAAACATTTTTAAAGAAATCCTGAATTTTGACTGTTACATTCCTAGTTGAAAAAAACCTTCAAAATCTACATTTATTGTACTCCGTTTAAGGTCCTTTAAAAAAAAATTTAAGAACCAAAATTAATAACTTTGAGAAATTTTAATAGTTCTTATATAAATTTTAAAGACTTCTGTCCTCCGAAAAATATTTTAAATAAGTCATGTTTATTTCTTTGTCCTTGGAGGGTCTTTTGCAAAAATAAATTATTGAGAGGCCATGAGAATAATATATATATATATATATATATATATATATATATATATATATATATATATATATATATATATATATATATTTTTTTTTTTTTTTTTTTTTTTTTTGAGGTCCTTGGAAACATTTCTTGAAAATATTTGTTCTTAGTGAGATCCTTGGGAATCCTTAATAAAATCTGCGAGGTCCTTGGATAAATTCCTTAAATACCCGCTTGTATTTTTTAAAAAACTGCAACCAACTTCAGACTGTTGTCATTTCTAAGCCACTCGTCCGACAGCTGTCAAAAATATTCCATTGACAGCTCATTATATTTTTTTTCCAGAAAAAAAAGTTATTCGTGATGGAATTCAAGCGGGATGGTGTGATTTCTTTTTATTTGGCTGGAAAGCCACAAGTGGCTATAATTAGAACACTCCAGCATTTAAATGTGAATAAATCTTTTGTGTCTCATACCATCACTCGTCACCGTGATACTGGATGTGAACGGAAGAAAACTGCAATAGCAACATCGGCAGAAATGGTTCGAAAAGTAAAGAAGCGTCTTGAACGAATCCCGCGTCGCAGTGGCCGAAAATATATCGCAATATTCCATTCGCCAACTATTGAGAAACGAGCTCGGGTAAAGCCATTGAAATTCGAAAAAAATGCAAGAACTTACACCGCAACAGAAAGAAAATAGACTCAAAAGAGCTAAAGAGTTGCTTTGCTAGGCCGAAAGTGGTGAACTGCCGAATTTGGTTTTCTCCTATCTCCGATGAGAAAACATTCGTTGTCCAGCAGTTTGTAAACAAACAAAATGATCGTGTTTACCAGAGGTACCAAAGAGGTCAGCTGAAAATGTGCACCTTCGGTTGGCCACCAGAACTCAAGCGCCGGCCATGGTGGTGGTGTGGTCCGCCATAACAGCCGATGGTCGTTCTCTACTCCTATTAATCGACCGTGGCATTATAATAAATGCCGAATAATATCCCAAAAATATTCTGGAGGGTGTATTAAAGCCTTGAGCACCCAAATCTTTTGGCCGCAGTCCTTGGACATTCCAACAGGACTCAGCACCATCGCACTCAACACGCGCCTATGGTTACAAAATGAGATTCCTCTTTTCATTTCCAGCGCACAATGGCCTCCGCATACCAATCCGTTGGACTATTGTGTCAGGAGTATTTCGGAAAGTAACGTTGACACTAAAAAATACCAAAGTCTCGATCACCTCAAGCAAGCGCTTCGCCGGGAATGGGCCAAAATACCGCAGAGCAACATTCGGGTGACATGTGGTTTCATTGAAATTTTATTGAAAATTGTAACGAACAACCCTAATATTATTCGTCCCATTCAAATATGTTATCCATCATTACAACCATTTACAGTACAACAACAATTGTCCGACATAATAAAATAAAACAAATTTTATACATTTTAATATCTTCCGTTTTCACGACAAAGGACTTAACTCCTCTAATATGAATAGGAAACGGAATAATATTACCATAAAAAATAAATTACCTAATATAAGCTACTGGATTCCGAGAAATGTCGTTTCAGGTGTTATAAGTTTCCATGCAGTCCTTTAGGTTTTATGAATTAAAGCTTTCCTGAATTGGACTTTTTAACCACATTTTTTTTCTATATTTTTATTCCAAGAACAACATTTAGTCCTTTTTCCCTCAAAAGCGACAAATTTAAAGTCTGGTAATGCAGGACTATCTCTCCGGTTGAATGATTGTGGTTGTTGTTGTTGCTGGCTTTGGCATACGTGTTGACTTCTACTTGTCGGTGTTGTTGTTGTTTTTGTTTCGCCCGCCCTGGTGTTAAAATCACGTCTACGACAAGTGGTAACATCAGAGGTTGGCTAAATGGCTGGTTGACTGGTCATTTGTTGTTTTTGCTGTTACATTTTTTTTTTGCTTCTGACCTTTTGTTGTGTCCTGCCATATTGTGGTCGTTGTTGGACAGCAACAGAAAAAAAAACGAAACGCTCTTTGACTGCAAATGTCAGTTGTCAGTTGCCAATTATGTAATTTCGGAAATGCAACAGTAACAACAACAACAAGAACCTATCCTGCTGTGATTTATTTAAACAAAATTAAATCATGGCATTCCACCATACCCCCGCCATTCTTATTGCCCTTTAAGCCCGAATGAATTATCACACTTTGGCCAAAGGAGAGCGAGAGAGGGGGTGAAAGGGAGAGCCATAGTCTCGTGAATCAAATACGTGTTGAAAATATTTAGAAAGCAATTAAAATTTGTAATATTTTTTCCACCAAAAAAAAAACCGAAAACTGAAAACTGAAAACATAAAAATCCATTCGGAATTCCTGCATAAATTCGAACAATATTTATGGCCATTACATGCACACACATACAGAAGGCAAGACAGACATTCAGGCAGGCACAGAAATTTGTTACATTTCCCACTCTTTATTGTTACCCCCACCCTGACTAGCAAACCTTTAAAATATTCCAATTGAATACCAGAAGGTCGTTTCAATTTGTTAGACATTAATTTAAAGATTTATTATTGTTGTTGTGTTTTTGTTGTAACGATAATCCCCACAAACAAATAAAGAGTAAACATTAAGTTTATGGTTTTTTTTCTTCTTCCAGATACCCATCGCAGTGACAAACCATCGACATCATGTGCCTCCTCCATGGCTGCCGTTTCGGCAGCAGCCGCCGCAGCTGTGGCCTCCATAGCCTCGTCACAGGCAGCAGCGGCCGCCTCTTCGGCCACGGTGTCATCACACATGTCCCACCACCCACATCATCCCCATGCTCCGCCCCACCATGTACAGCATCATTTACCCCCGCTCAGTGCCCATCATCATCACCATCATCCGAACAGCAGCCTCTTGGCAGCGGCCAGTATGAGCCATAGTTTGGGCTTGGGTGGTCCACCGGGTCTGAGACCACCACCAGGCCATATACCAGATATGTGTCCTGTTTGCGGCATTAAACTATCAGCCGATGAGTGGAACTCTCATTTTCTAACGGAACTGGATCGTTTGTATAAATTGAGTTCCGGCATGGAGAGATCGAATTTACAGGCCACTTATATGTTTGCCCAACCCTGCCCCTCACAAGAGAATGCCATTAGAACCAGCCATAATCGTTGGGAGGTAAGTAGAGGTTGGAGAGACTTAGACTCAACATGGGCGGGGGGGAAATTGGGTCAAATTTAGGAAATGTTGAGGCAACATTGAGAAATTTTGAGGGAACATTGAGAAATGTTGAGGTAACATTGAGAAATGTTGAAGGAACATTGAAAAATGTTGAGGCAACATTGAGAAATGCTGATTCAAGATTAAGAAATGTTGATGCAACATTAATAAATGTTGAGGCAACATTGAGAAATGGATTCAACATTACTCATTAAAAAAAGTTGCTGAACATTTTTTTTCATAAAAAGTGGTTACTTCAGAATTTTGAAATTTTGCTCCACAATTGAATAAATGTTGCTTCAACATTGTGAACTTCGCGAAATGTTGCTTCGGCATTACAAAAATGTTTTGCTACATAAAAAGGTTGCTCAACATTAAAAAGTGTTGCTTCAGCGTTTCAAAAGTGTTGTCGATAACATTTTTGGTTCAGCCTTTGAAAAAATGTTGCTTCAGCATTGAAAACAGTGTCGGTGCCAAATTGAATAAAAAAATAACTCAATATTCAGAACTTTTCGAAATGTTTGAAAATCTCAAAATTGATGTCGGTAATTAAAATTCTATTTTTTTTTTTCTAAATTCTCTCCCCCATCAGACCTTCCAAAGAATACGCAACAATCGCCAGAATCGTTTGCGCATCAAGGTACGTAAGCGTAAATATGGCGACATGTATTTCATGGAGAATATGTTTTGCAATTCCTGTCCGATTTGCAAGAGGAAATACGCCCTCGAGGTTGGTGGTAAACTGCCAGATGATGAGAATAAGCAACAGGATGAAATCGAAACTGTAGATGTGGAATCTTGCAATGATGATGTACCTGATTCGAATTCGGAAATGTCACAGGTACATCATGCTCATATGCCAGCTCTCAGTGGGAGTAGCAGCCATAGTAGTAGCCATAGCAGTTCAGGTGGTGGTGGTGGAGGTGCCAGTACCCCAGGTGGGGCTAATTTGCACAACAGTAATAGCCAGCCGGGAAAATTGGATGGCATACTGTACAGAACTGCCAATTGTGCCATAAGTAAGGATAATATGCATCAGACAGCCGAGGAGGATATTAGCACAAATGTGGCCACCACCACCACCACCAGTGGCAGTAACAGCAGCAATAGCAGCAGTGCTGGAAGTAGCAGCAATTGGACAGAAGCTCACAATCCAGGCAGTAATATCAACAGCCATACGAATGCGGGTCAGGGGCATATATCAGGTAACATAGCTACTTTTATTTAAGAGAATGCCAGAGAAGATTTCAAGAAATATCTCTTGCTTGGTTTTAGTGAAAAATGTCAGCGAATTATCCTCGACAACCCATCATTACTACAATGCCGATTCCTGCAATGAGGAACGCAGCGCCAAGGACATGTCCATGGATACTTGCAATAATGACAGCGATGAGGATGTTATTGTGGATGATGATGATTCCATTAAAATGACAAGCTATAACAAGAAGAGGAAATATGAAGAGGCCATGGTGGGCAGTAGCAGGTAAGACACAGAAAAAAGAAAGTAAAGGCGTAAATCCGTTACCAATAACAAATAAAATTATAGAATTTCAGACAACCCCTCACCGGTGGAGGAGAGGCCACGTTCTGAGCCCCAGGTTACCAGTACCGAAACCACCGTGGAAAATCCCCATAACAATAATAATAACAACAACACCACAAAATACACAGCATTTGAAGATTTGAGAAGTAAACACATGACCCATCACGGCCAGCAGCTGCAAATGCAGCATCACCAACCACTTGAAGGGGATTCACCCAATGGCCATGGCCATGGACAGGTGGCACCACCACATCCCGGCCTCATGCCAGGCCTTGCAGCAGCACAACAACAACAGCAACAATTGGACTCAAAGGTGGGAAATAGTTCGGAAATAAAACCCGACAATGAAGATGATAACAAATGTTTCATTTGTAAGGTAAATTTTTCAGTTTTGTTAGGGCCTGCCAGGGCAGAGTTTCCTGCCCCGGTTATTTTTATTTGCAATTTTATTGAAAAAAAAAAAACGATTGTTGTAATTGTTGTTTTAACTTTTCAAACATTTTCTATCATTAAGACAGGTATAAAGGACTTTGCGTCGGACACATTTTTGAGGGGGCGTAACTTTTATTTCCATCAGAGTTGTGCCAATGTCATGAGCAGTTATCGTTTGAACAAAGAACTTCAGCAGCAGCAACAACAGCAACATCTTCATCAACAAACCGAAGTTGGCAGCAGTGATAAACCAGCCACGGTGACACAATCCCAACCGCTGCCAACTTCACAGCAACATGTTGACAATGGCCAGGCAACACACAAAGAAAGTTAAGACAATGAGAATTGGAGTAATAACTATAGCGAAAATAAATTGAGAGAATAAAAACAAAGAGAATCTAATTTGTTGCCATACAAGAAGGAGAAATTCTGATAAATTTAGATGTATAGCAACATGTTGCCGGACTGGGGCAACATTCAGAAAAGTCCAGTTATTTCAATGTCAAATCATCAAATGACAAGTCTAATTGATGTCAAGTATAAATCTGTGAAAAATTGGAAGGGATTTTAAGTCGAGAAAAACAAAAAAAAACATTATAGCAACTTGTTGCTAGACTAGGATTTTTCCTGCAACATTTGAAGAGAAAATGCTCAAAGCCCATAGAATTTATGCAAATTATGATAGATCATGGTTAAGCAAATGCTCTCCTTACTCGGAAATAAATTTCACAGAGGATTTTACATGAATCACCAAAATCTTTTGCAACATGTTGCCAGACACATGTGTACAACAGCCACTACCATCTACCACGATATCTTCAAAAAGGCCATAAACCACAAAATAAAATATGAAAGAAGTATAATTTAGATAAGAATTTTAATAATTTAATGAAAAAATTTAGAGACCCCCTTCCCCCTCTGTCCCTACAATCAAAGAACGCGACAAAACATATAAAGAATTTATTAGAGAAAAAGGAGAAAAGTAAAATAGCAATTTAAATGTAGTTAAAGAAAAAGAAAATAAATTATATTTAAAATGTAACAAATAAATTTCAATTTAAATGTATAAAAATTATAATTATCATCTAAGAATATATTAAAAAAAATCCATGTAAATTTTGTTTTTCTTTTGTCTAGGTAACTTAAGTGTAGATTGGATTGTAAAAAACAAGTTAAGTTCTCCCTTCCCCCTTGTAATGCCTCTCTGTAGATCTTTTCTTTTTGTTCCCCACATTTCTGTTAGATAATTTTTCTTAAAGGCTTCAAACAAACAAACCCCTAATTGCCCTAAATGTATTAATAATAAGTGTGTAATTGTTATTTATATAATTTTAACTTAATCTAATTGTAATTAAATAAAAATATTTTAAATTAATGCAAAAACAAAACAAACAAAAATCATAAGAAATAAAATACACATATTTTAAAACAAATACAAAAAAATGAAATAAATAACAAAATACTAACGATAAACATGTTTTCGGATTTTTTTATTTATTGGGGTCATTGTTAGGTAAGTCAAAGTTTATACCATTCCCTAAAGTAATTCATGAATATTTCCCATTACTTGTCCATAGTATACTTCGAAAATCCTCTGCTGACTTTTAACAAAATTGCAAAAATTCTCCACTGACCTATAGAAGACTTCGAAGATCTTATAATGATTCAAAAAGTCCTCCTGCTGATCTGTAAAAGGTCGCAGGTAGCAAAGACACCTGTCCTAGAAAACCTTACGGGGACTTCTGCCTTCCACGAACCTATAGGTAAAACCTGCAAGGCTTTCTGCTGATTTATAGAAGACCCCAGAAGCATTATTTTGACCAATGGAGGTCTCGGAAGTCTTCTTTTGATCTACAGAAGACCCCTAAAGACTCCTCAATTGACCACCTGTAAGATTTTCTACTGGCCTACTAACGACTTCGGCAGATCTTATCTCGATGCCTACCACTGACCTAGAGAAGACCTCAGAATTCTTATACTAGAAAGCTTAGGATGTCCTGGAGAAGATCTTGTCCAAATTCAGCTGTTGTATGGATGAAGACCTCTGATTTATCCTATTGACTTCTTCAAGGACACTTTATAGTTCTTCTACTGCCCTGAAGAAGTCCTCAGAGGCTTAAAACTTGCAAAGAGACGATTTTAAAGCTTTAACACAGGAACTATCTAAAAGATCTGGGATGCCTGTTCAGGAGAAAAAGAAGACCTCCAAGGACTCCTGCTGCTGTTCCAGAGAAGAAAAAGAAGACCTCCGATGTCTTCTCCTGCTGTTCCGGAGAAGAAAAAGAAGACATCCGAGGTCTTCTTCTGCTCTTCCATAGAAGAGCAGACCTCCTTTATAGAAGGAGAAGACCTCCTTCATGGATGAAGACTTTCGAGGTATGCTGCTGATTTATGGATGACGTCAGAGGTTTTCTGTTGGTCTAAACATGACCTCAAAGGTATTTTAATGACTTCTAGAAGATATTAGAAGTATTTTACTAATCTTACCATGGGAAGGCTTAAAGGTCCTCCCATGACTTACTGATGTCTTCAGAGGTCGGCAAATGGATTATCTCTGAGGGCACCTACATATATATCCCGTCAGGGGTCTTCTATTGGACTAGAGATGTCTCATAGGTTTTGTACTGACCTCGAGGAAGTCCCATATATGTTCTGCTGATCTCTAGAAGACTTCAAAAGAATTCCACAGACTTAGTGAAGACCTCTAAGACCTCCTCCTGTGACTTGAGTAATAATAGAAGATCCATGGAAGAGTTCGGAGGAGTTTAACTGATTTATCTAAGGCTTGAAAGAAATGCAATTATTTCTCACAGAATCATAGACGTCTTACACTATCCTCTTTCCTTTTCTCCCATGGTATACTTTTAAGTTTCTCTACTATGCCATAGAAGCAGAGACGTACAGACAAATGCATTTGGAAACTAATTTGGGGAGCCCTACTTGCCAAAAATTAACTTTTTCATATAAAATCTAAAAAAAATATGTCAGAAAACTATCCATTTTGGAGGCACACACCAGGCGTCCACCCAGCATATGTTCCTGAATAGAAACATTCATAAGATTTGACTTGCTAAAGGAGGCCTGAGATATTGTGTATGTGCCTTTCATGATCCTATTTCTCTATAGAAGATATTATTTTACTACAGAGGATCTTGAGATCTCCTACGGACGTGTAGAATAACGTTGATTTTTTCCTACAGAAAATAGTTCCACTTAGGAAAAATATTGAAATTATGGAATGTCTCATATTACCTAAAACATACATATATTTAAGAGATGTACATTTCACACACAATTAAACCAACATTCATGCTTAAGTATCTGTTCTCGCAACACTATCTCTTTCACCAATTTGTTCTACTCTGAGAATATAGAATCTATTTTTAGAAAAAAAGTGTGAATTCTCTTAAAAATGCTCATAACTAACATTTAGGAAAATTATTTTCCACTTATCGGTAAAAAAATCAATAACACTTGGTGGAAAAACAAACGGCATAAATGATACCGTCTCTTCAAGTGGGTGTTTATGTGAACATAAAAGAGCGAGAGATAGATAGCAAGAGAGTAATTTGTGTTGAGTTTCATTTGAAATCTCTTTATGAAATATTCTCACAAACTGATAACGAATGTCAATCTAGCAGTCACTAAGAATGCTAATTGTTATGCTGGCCGAGCCGGCTGATTATTAAGTGGTGGTGGATCAGTTGCTTTGGCACCGTGAGCGGTTCTATCCAGTTGTCGTTTCAATTAGTCGTGAGCAAGCAGTCACTTTGGACACTACAATTTATATTGGAGCGCTATCGCATTTAAGAGTGACGTCAAGTTTTAATTTCATTCACAGATCGCTCGCCAGTCAGACGGTTCTCAGAAGATTGCTGCAACGTAAATTCGTGTTATTGGAATTCCGCTGTTATTTTTTTGTTTTTACTTAAGGTAAGCATAAACAAATAAGTGTCAAGTGTTTTGCCATATTTGAAATATGTTCCACCTTAAAGTTCTCACGCCAGGTTGAAACTGAAACTGAGAACTCATGTTAGCTATGCAAATGACACTAATGAAGGCAGTTTTATTTTTTGTTTCTATTCCACACAGCCAGCGTTATGTTTTCAAAATTAACAACCAGATTGGCACCCCGCCTCTGCACACCCGGTACAACAATTGCCAGCCGTCAATTGACATCGCAACAAGTCTTCGAACGCGAAGATAAATACGGCGCTCACAATTATCATCCCCTGCCCGTGGCACTCACCAAGGCCAAGGGTGTCTTTGTCTGGGATGTGGAGGGCAAGCGGTATTTTGATTACTTGAGCGCTTATTCAGCTGTCAATCAGGGCCATGGTCATCCCAAAATTATTAAAGCTCTGACGGAGCAGGCTCAAGTATTGGCCTTGACTTCACGGTAAGTAGAAAAAGAAGGTACAAAGGAGGAATAATGGAAATTTTTTCTTTAGTTTTCGAAGAAACAAAGCAAGAACTTGAGATAAGCCGGACAACTTTAGCAACAGAAATCTATATTTGAAAAAAGAAATTTATTATCACTCCCGGGGAGTAATTTTTGTGAAAGCAACGCACAGGGAGTGTTGGCTGTCTTATCAGGGTAGTCTATCATAAAATAAGAAGAAAAAAAAAAACGAGTATAGCAACTGATAGTGGTGTTGGCCCACAATATACCACCAATAGCATAGGTCAAGCCTTATCTCAGTTATTGCTCTTGATTTGAAATCTAAACATAACGCTTTGTGCATTTCTAGTTCGTTGTCTTGTTAATTGATATATATTTTCTTGTTATTGTTTTATTTTACTAGAGCCTTCTATTCGGATGTCTTGGGAGAGTATGAGGAATATGTCACCAAATTGTTTAACTATGACAAAGTTTTGCCCATGAACACCGGTGTTGAGGGTGGAGAAACTGCCTGCAAATTGGCCCGGAAATGGGCCTACACCAAGAAGAATATCCCGAAAAATCAAGCCAAGGTAAGAATTAGAAAAAAAACTGTTGGACACGATGAATCGTGCAGATCTATAAAAATCTTAAAAACTATGGGGGGTCTGGCCAAAACAAGACTTAGAAGACTTCTAGTAGTCTATAGAAAACACCAGCGATTGTTTATAAAAATTCTTACAGATATTCCTCTGATCTATAACAGCTTTCCGCTGAGATCCTTACGGACCTATAGAAGGCCTAATGATTTAAAGAAGGCAAAATACTCCCACTTTTAAATAAATTGACTCTGAAGCTTTGTTCTCAAATATAGATAAACTAGGGTGTCTACAAACCACTACTGATATGAGATTTTTGAGAATGAGAATATTGTTATATAAGATAAAAGAGTTACGTGTTTAGTGACTCCGGCCAGGTTCAGTTTTCAAGGCCTTAAAAAACTTAAATTTACCTCTAGAAACCCTTCGAATTCTTGTAGGGTTTATAATTAATGACGATAGACTTCAAATATATGGAAGACCCCACTCTACTGCCATAAAGAAGACCTCAGAGGATTTAAACTGAGATATACATTATTTAAATCATCTCGACGACTTATACCGACCTCTTCCGCCCTTCGAAGTGATCAAATCCCTCTATTTTACAAAAAAACCCGCAATAACGGCCTCAGAGGTCTTCTACTAACCTATGGAAATCCTCCCTATATTGACATATGAAAGACCTTAGATGACTTTTTCCCACTCATAGATTTTCAACTGATTTGAGAATCTTAAAAGTAATTTAAAGACTGACGATTTCGGCTGAGTAAAGCGACCTGTAGACTAACTTATAGAATATGTAGATGGCTTCAAATTACCTATTTGTAGGCGACTCCAAAAGGGTTCATCTGATTTTGATAAGGAATCAGGAGGTATTTATTACCTTACATAAAGACTGAACTTATCTTAAAAGTCCTCAGGGTTTTTCTACTGGCCTATAAAAAAACCTCAAAATTATTTTAAGAACCTAGATAAGACCTCAGAAGAACAATATAGAAGATCTCAGG